TGCCAGAACTCTGTATTTTTTCCTCCCATTTTGTATTTATTTATTCCCTTTAGGGGTTCCGTAGCTCACGTCATTTCCTTTGCGAACATGGTATTCGGATTCAGGCACATCCCTAACTAATGCACAGACTGTCAGTGCCTGGAACAAACACAAGCAGTGAAATATTGGTGTGTAGTGTCACTGAAGGTGTTGTTATTTCACTACCCTATGCTTGTAATGCAATGATCGTTTACACAGTGTTTTCTGCCACAGGAGTCAAAACATAATTTGGTTTTTGTTGAGTTCTCTAATGTATTACCCTCAAATTCTTCTTCCTCTTCTGTGTTCAGTCTCTGATAAAGCAAGTCAGTGTCTGCACTTTCAGGTTGTTTCCTAAACTCAACCATCTCCTCTTCCTCGGTTTCGGAGTCGGGAGCAGTGTGTTTGCATATGCGACTTACCGCATCCCACAGGGACTTGGCATGTTGGATTTTTTGCTTGTGTTCAGGGGGTGATGAAGTACAGAGTAAAACATCAGAAGAAACATTTCTTGTCTGTGGGAGAGATGGATTTTCAAAAGCATCTGGAACTGGAGTTGAAGGAGAGGGAAGTGAGGATGTACATCTTGACTGAACACTAGGAGAACCAGAGTACACAGTGGTTTCTGTATTAGTAAAAGATGGAAGCAACAGTGGTTCATTCTCTGTGTGAGAAACCACAGAAGTAGCTGATACATTTGATTCATCCAATGTGTTGGAAGTAGAGGTAAATGACAAATGAGGTGAAGAACTTGATCTTCTGAGAGTACTGCAACCCACAGTTGAAGGTAAAACAGCTTTGTGTATGCTTTCTTCAAATTCTCTGATGTAATTTTCTGCACTTTTCCTAAGGAAGGGTGTAGAGCAATCCCAAACAAGTACTCGCTTATCATCTCTTTCATCGGAGAGGTTGTTTTCTGTTGAGCTATCCTTGGTAAGGTCCTTAGAAGTATCATTTTGATGGTTTTCGTTATCTTTCTGTGTACTGTACTTATCCACACTGTCATCCAATGCTGGTGCATTTCCTTGTTCTGTGGATTGATTCATATGTATGGTGGTCTTTTCAGATTGGATCCCATAAACGTCAGATGTGGATTTTGCATTTGTTAAAGCCACAAAGTCTTCAAGCACAGCTTCAGGTTCTTGTGCAGGGATTTGGTCTTCCACTTTCATAATATTGAGCGTTTCCTCTACACTTTCATTATTCTCCAGTGTTGTCTCACTCCAGGGATGTCCCACCATAGGTTCATTTCTCAGCGATTGCCTGTCATTAATCATTGCAGCTACTGATGGAGATTCCTCAAACTCTTTTATTGGATTCACTATGTGACTCTCACAGGAACTGTCATGATCTTTTGAAATGCTCTCGTGTGTCTGTGCACTTGTCCTGGGATACTCATGTGGTATTCCAAGAATCCCTTCTACTCTCTTGTCCAAGGCATTGTTTTCAGGAGTCTCCTGGCTTGAGATGTCACTGCTGTGCTGCTTTTGCACATCAGTCTCCTCCCTAGTACTTGGCAAAGGACTCTCTTCTGTCAAACACACATACTGGACATGTTCCTTCTCTGGAAGAAGTACAAGCTCAACCTTGACAACAACACAGGTTGCATCAATGACCAAAAGACTCTGCTGGTCGTTTGTCGTGTTGTTGCTATCCTCTTTGTTAGTTACGTTTGACTCATTGTTGATCCTCTGGCTTTGCTCATTTTTTTGCTCTGTCATACCCATCGAGTGATGCTGATATTTTGGCTCTTTCCACAATGGGAATTTCTCTATGATTTCCCTACATGGTTTCTCATGTCCGTCTGTCTGCATAGGTGACTTCTGGGCTAAACAGTTTGACTCTGAGTCATTCCCTTGGACATAACATTGCAACTCTTCTTTACTTTCATCTGGTTTTATTACATTACTCAAATCCTGAATAGAACTGGATCTTTGATCTAGGGGTGTATGACTATACTCTCCAAACATTAAGGATCCGTTGAACTGCCCCACAGCTTTGTCCTTCTTCAAGTATGCATCCTGATTTTGTCTGCTGTCATCATTGCCCTGAGGTGAATTTATCTGCTCAGTGGTGATTGTCTTGTCATCAGGTTTGCAGTCAGTTAACAGAGGTAACACGTGGGATTTAAGTGGCTCCTCTGGAGAACTGGACAAGCCTGACACTTCTCCCATACGAGAGACTAGACAAAACATAGTCTCGCCACCTTTTCTTCTTGTAAGTTTGGTCTGCTTCTTTTGAGTAATATCAGGATGGGTCATGTGTGAAGACCCTCGGTACTGTAGCTGTGCTTGTGGAGAAGGTGGTATTGTGTTTGTTGTTGTGTACTGCATGACAGTGGATGTATTTAAGGTTTCCAGACAGTGTAGTCCACCCGTGATATCACTGCGATGACTCTCTGTGTTCTGTGTCTGGTTATTGTTTTGTAAATAATGTTCATTGTTTGATGAAAGATCACAATGTGTTTCTGCCAAATCTGTAAAGTATACTTTTCTGCTCTCAAATGTTTGCTCCTGAAATGCTTCCACACTTGCCTCTCTAGTAACTTTCGGTATTCCTGCTATCTCGTCACCATCCTTCGGGGAGCTGTATGCTGGTGGTGCCATGTAGGATAGAGGCTGTATAAATGATCCTACTGGGAAAACACTTTCTGTATTTCTTGAATTCCAAGGGCTCAATTTCCACCGATGTTCCCTCGCTCTGTTGCTGAGGTCAGTTTTGTCTTTTTTCTGTGATGTTAAAGCAGTTGGCTGGAAATTTTCAGTGGTCTCTGCACTAACAGCCCACTGGCGACATCCCAACACTTTCTCCATATCTGAAGCACACCTAGATGATCTCCACTCCCCAACCTCAAAACGAGGTGTTTTTTTTTAAAGTTTATGATGATAGCAGTCGACATATGCTTGGAGCTCGTTGTGAATGTTTGTTCCAAAGTTTTCTCTTATTCCTTTGTAGTTTATTGGCCATGTGTTTTCCCACCCTTCGTGCTGTGCACATTTGTTTCTTTCTGTATTCCTCCCCTTATCTGATCTCTGTTTTTCTGTTGGTACAAGATTTCTCACTTCACCAATGTAGTCAGTTAATTCTCTGTGAGATAACTTGGTTTGTGTAGGACAATTTGTGATTGATGATATCTCACTCTGCTTATTAAAGTCATAAATATCCCTGCTTGTTCTGGGACCTGATGCCACCCAAGTGTTTGGCTCACCAGTTGAGCCATTGTACTCTGACAGGTGCTGCAGGAAAGTGGCTGTAGAAGGTTTGCGCTGATATCTGTTGAGAAAAACAAGAGTAATGTACAGTTGCAGGAAAATGTAAGTTAAATTTCTCCATAAACTGGTCATCAAATTTGATCTGTTCTTGAGCTCTCAAAATAACAGTCAATCACAGTCTGCATAAACAAATCTGAACGTACCGTGTAAACATTCACAGTGAAGAGCCAGCTAACCTGAAGTCTGATCCCTGTCCTATCCAAACAATTGGATTTGTTGATTTGAACACCTAACATTAAGATGCATTGATTTGCTTTTAAAAACATGAGACGCTGCTCAATCAGGGGCACCCCAAGGGTTTATGGGGGCCCCTGGAAAAGAAAATTGAATTTGCACAATTCACATAGATCATATTTCTCAGGTCAGAAAAAAATGAAATCTGTATTAATACAGAAAAATTACAATCTTGGAGATTTTTTCTGTCAAGAGTGTGTCCACCAATTATTAAATCAAAGAGGGGTTTTTGCACTCTTCAATGTAAATGATTGTACAATGTGTTAAAAAGACAAAAACATATCATTGTTTGTGTGTTATCGGTCTAAAAAGACTGTGTTTGCCTATTGTTGTGACTTAGTTGAAGAGAAGATTTTATAACCAATTTATGCAAAAATTTAGGTAATTCCATAGTTTAATTATTTTGAGGAGCAACTAATGAAAAATAAATAAAAGTTTTAACCCTCAAGTCTATGAGTGGGAAATTGTGGGAAAACAAAGACTTACATAGACTTTACTGCTTTAAGGGGTTTTATAAAAAAAAGCAGCAACAAAATGCATTTACTCTATTACTATGTTTTCTGTCCAGTATGCTATATTTGGTTTGGTACCTTGTGTATTATACTTTATCAATAGAAGTCAATGCATTTTAACCATCTATGGACAACTTGCACAACAACTTCACATTCTGTTTATGACATCTCAGGTGTTTCCTGGGAACAACATTCAACATTCTGAATAATAAATAAAATATATTTTTGCCTCTATACTTCTCATTTACCATATTTTACTCATTTCACTCATATTTGTACATTAATCTGAATTAGCACTGGTTGTCAGCACAGAACAAGACAACAACAATAGTACAAATGACAAAAACATGAGCATATGATAATACAGTGAAAACAAGAAAACAGAGAGAAAGAAGACAGTATATATGCGCATATATGAGGTATAATTCATCATAATAAATATGAGCCTTAATTATTGCTTGGTTTCTTATGAGGCTCTCCGGATTTAAAGTTCCTGAAGTGATGGCAGGTAATGGCTTGTGATCTTCTCAGCTGTTTTTAAGATGCTGTGTCAAGTTAAAAACCACAATGTGCCTCTCATCTATCAAATTCAAATTCTTGGTAATTGGCAATTAGGAAAATCTGTCCTTTGGATAAGAAGTTATTGGTCTGGACTCTCCATGGTCATAATAATAAAAATTTATAAATAATCCAGGATATTTCTCTAAGTTACCTAGCCTACATATTAGGAATTTCTACTTTTGTTTCCCATTTTGTTTTTGTGATTTAAATATATATTATATCTATACCATTTTGAATTCAAATGGAGTGGGGCTGAGATGGGTGCTGATAAGGAATGACATCCAAAGACACTTCAGCATCCAGAGACGGAGGCTATGTTCACACTGCGAGCCTTAGTGCTCAATTCAGTTTTTTTCTCAGATCGGATTTTGTTGTATAGCTGTTCACATTGTTGTTTTAAATGTGGCCAACATCAGATTTCCAGTGTGAACAGATCATGGTTCTGAACTGACCCGCATGCGCAAAAGAACGATACGGACAGGGTTTCCAGATTTTCACAACAAAATCCGCCCAATTCTTTCTCAAAACTAGTCCAAAACTAGCCCAATCATGTTCAGGAAGGTAAACATCGCATTAGTGGGGTTGCGTCAACCCATGAAGTTGAAAAATATCCCGCAGCAACAGAGGAAAAATTAGCCCAATTCCGCGGGGAAAATGTGAATTTGGCAACACTTGCACAGCGCGGCGTCATTCAGAAGTAAACACAGAGGATATAAAGTAAGCGATTATGCTTTTATTTATAATGTGATCAGCTGCAGAAGCCAGCAAAATTATGCACAGGCAATATGAAAAAAATAAAGACAAGGATGTGACTCTGAAAGTATTTCCAGCGATAGCGTTCCTTGATATTATTTTGGTGTGCTATTCTCTTAGTGTTATGACTATTAAAACTGTATGGTTATAGATATCACCCTGCATTTGAAGAGTTTCGTTGTTTAGAGCGATGACACCCTTTACTAGTCTCCTTCAACTAGAAACTCCAGAACACAGTAGTGACGAGACACAGTATTTCAATTCATATGTCATAGAAAATTCAATTTCAATTCATATGAAGCCACACTCTAAAAAATGCTGGGTTGTATTTAACACAGAATTTTTAGAGTGCAGGTGCAAGTAGTCCATTGTAAATGTAATTTTAAATACATTTTATTTTCATATAAATTTAAAAAAAAAAGTTTAATGCTAAATATTGTTTTTTTTATTATTATTATAGTTATCGCACCCAGTTTTTGTCACAAAATGCATA